AGGAGAGATTTCTCCTAAACTGAAGATTTTCCATTTGATATTTAAGGACTGCAAGAAATCTCAGGCAATCACAGCCTCTGAAGACTGCAAACCATCTTCTAATTATGAAGGTATGTGCAATCCTGTAAATAAGGCTGGAATCAACTTAGTCAGAAAAAAAAAGAAAAAAGGAGGCTTTAGATATAATTTCAAACTATTTACTTACTGAAATGGAATTTTCTGTGCTTGCCAAAATGAATCCCATTCAGTGTGATGCAACAGGTGTTGGAATTCCAGCAGCCGCCTGCAACCCACATCTGGTAATGGTTAGGAGTTAAAAGGAAGTTCTGTAAGAACTGCTCATGTATAAAAACTATTCATCAGTCAGATCTATGGGCCATATTCACCCACCCGCTTGCACTGTGCATAGTTCAGATTTTTATTTTGTTTACAGAAAACGTAATTCTGCTCCTCATAAAGTCTTAGGAATTTCAGGCACTTGAGAGCATCTGGGGGATTGATGCTGGCCATGCTGGTGGCAGAAAGGTGAGAGAGGGACAGGGGTTTAGAGAACAAGGTGTGAATATATCTGTATTGGTTCTGACCAGATCTAATTCACATCCTGATCACTTCCACAGCCTCATCATCACTCTGCAGGAGAAGAAATCCTCTCCCATGTCCCAAACACCTCATCAAAAACTGTGCAGTGTGAAAATTATCAGACAGGGATTTGTCAAGCAAAAAATAATAATTCTCAAGTACCGCTACTCTCAGCTGGGAATCCTCCTGCTTTTTCCCCCCATCTCAATCACCAGATTGAAATCAGTAAGACAACTCACAGGAAACAAGTGGTAGGACCATGCCATCAATAATTAGCCCTTGCTAACTGCCTCAGCATGAATGGTGTCACTAATTTGTCACTCAGATGATCAGATCCAAAAGTATAAAAGGTAATTCTCACTTTTTTAAAGATTTTAGTATGTATAAACTGTGCACATAAAAGATACTGTACTAAACCCAAGGCTATTAATCACTGAGTTTTCTGTTAAGTCCTGTACACACTAGATTTCAGTAGAAGGTGGGTGAATAAAAGTCATCAATTTCCAGAATAATTTCTCCCCCTTTCCCAATGGAAAAACATTCATTTCAGTCATTACACACCACCAGACAAGAACAAGGCCTTAGTTAATTTTTACAGCATTATATTCATGGTAAAAAAGCCACACCTATTCTTTAACTCTGAGTTTTGTTCTCTCTTCATGTTTCTGTGACAGCCAAATAGAGATAGCAAAAGCAGAAACTGATAACTGCAAAATAAGTGTGCCAGGCTTTGCCACACTCCTGCACTTCACCAGCACTGAGGAAAATGGTTTAACAGAAACTACATCAGTCCAGACAGTGGCAGAAGCCAGACTGATCCTGCTCCCCAGGAATACAAACATCTCTAGAAGAAATTATAAGGAAAGGATAATTAAAGAGCACTTTTCAACTAAGACTGTAATCTAAGTAGCATATAACAGGATAATGATATTGAGAATATAATTATAAAATAATTCTGTCAAAAATGGTTATTATTCATCTATAGAACAGGAGAGTCTGATCTTTCACAGTAATATAACATTTTAATTCCTGACAAAGTGATTGAAATAGTAGTAGGAAAGCATTCAAATGGAGGATTTAGAATGATTTAGAAGGAAGAGCACCGTGCTTATCAGAAGGGGCTGACATTCAGATGTTTAGTCAGAAATAATTTCCCAATTCTCTTCTCAGCTCCTACATGACTGGTGAAATACAACTTGTGCACAGTCTGACTGAACAGTACAGCAACCTCCCATATGTAAGAGATTAAACAAAGGAGTAAGTTTTTATATCCTACAGGCCATCTCCAAAAATACATTGTCTATATAAACTAAAAAATAAGTTATATCTGAAAGGGCAACCATAACATAGAAAATTTAAGATCTGGAATTAGCAGGAAACTCAGTTTTTGCATATACATAATCACAGAAATATTTTAAAAGAAACTGATCAGAAGCATTTGAGCCCATTCTGCAAACCTCGTGTTTGCTGTGCAGACCACACACAAATGCAGCGGAAGAAACAACCTAAAATAATTTCTGTGCGTTGAACAGGAATGCTCACATAATCACTGGAAATGCTCTTAATTGGTGTGGCTCAGTGGTGCATTTCAGAGCTGTTAGATCTTCTGCTGCTCTGGAACTCTTTTCATGTCCTGGCAATCCCAGCCCAACCAGCAGTTTGTTTATCATATTCAGTATGAATTTCCGGATCTCCAACAAAGTGGTATTTACTCCGAGGCAGGGAAGACTGCAGTAATCCAATAAGTTCTCATTAGCCTAAAATGCAGAAACATCTGCTGGGGTCATGAGCTGCTTTGCTGGCTGTTGATGAGCACAGGCTCAGCTCCGTTTGCAGCTCGTGTGAACAAAGAGTTGGGAGTTCGGGGTTTGGGGAGGGGACAAACGAACCTCGATGATTTCCAGAGCTGCAGCTCCACCCCAGAGCACCCCGGGCAGGATGCATCTTGCCTCACCTTGACCCGGGAGACCCCACTGCAGGGAGGACAGGAATTACAGCAAAAAAATGCCTTGACTCAGCCCTCCTGAGCTGGTCAGGGTCTGACACTGAGGAGAATGTGGGCACAGCTCCCCCAGACACACCAGCACCCAGGCAGGGCAAGGTGCAGGGTAAACCTAGTCTAAAAGCTTTGCCAATCTCTTCTTTAAACAACCAAGACTTTCGCAAGGGAAAAATACTTCCATTTCTGGGCTCCCCCTTCCTTCCAGGCTCTCACCCACCTGCTCAATTCACAACTGCTTTCAGTTTTTGGATGAAGGGAAAAAAAAATCCCTTCCCCCAGAAAAGCAGCTTAACACACATGAATATTAACAACTGGTCAAGAAGAACTTCTGGCCTAAAAGATGAATAAACTGGTAGTAAGTACTGCACAAGTTCAGACAAAACACAACTAAATCCACGTTGATACAAGTTACAGCAGGGAGAACATTATTAATTCCACAGGGGAAAAAAAGACACATAACCTGAATAAAAAGAGCCCTTAATTTGTTTAGGATTCCAACCGATTTAGGGCATGTGACATCGTCAGAAAATAAGTGGAAATTACAAAATAAGTGGTGTCACATCTGTTTAGCTCCTGCTCCAGTGATTCTGCAGTTCTTTGCTGTTGTTTGTACAGTGTTAAATGACAGCAGCCAATTCTGTGGCTATTTCAAGGTGGAGGAGCCTAAAACACTTCTGCAAAGAGCCAAAACAGGACCACTTAGAAAGAACATTTGTGAAAATCAAGAAGAAAATATCTCAGATCAAACTAGTTTAAAACCCTTTCCTGGAGACCCTGAGCTGCTTTAGCTAACACTTGTTGTACCATTTGTACAAAGAATTACACAAGTGTTCAGTTTAAAGAATGACTAGAATGCTGAAATTAATGCCTCTGATTCTTCTGAAACAATGAGTGCACATCCCCGGGCACAGAATTGTTCTGTAGCAGCAGTTTGGCTTCAGCCCCAGGACTCCTCTTTGCCTCGTGGGAGGATAAGGAGTGCAGCGAGTGCCGCCTGCAGCAGCAGGGCTGAACTACTGCCCCCGCAAGATTTACAGCCTTTAATTGTGCTCACAGCACGCACCTCCCCGGAGGGAGAACCAGCAGCATTCCACTGCTTTTCAGAGGGAAAATCTGCATTGCTGGCTGTTGCTTGAGTAACGTTTGGGTGTAGGTATATACATCCAACAGTATCTCAAGGGCAGAAAGTCACTTGATGGAAAAGGATGGGCTTAATTTAGAATTATTTCTTAAAAGAAGAATACTTTTTCAGGCCATCAGTGAGGTGTACCATTAAGGAATCCTAGGAAAGACAATCTGATATGCCTGTGCAGAGACATTATTATCAATATAATATACACTACGATATTGATTTCAATCTCATTCCCTCCCCTCTCATATTTAAGATGAGCCTTCCCAACTTTCAGTCTCAGAATTGACACACTGATCATAAAGAGGTTAAAGGTGTGAGGACACACAGTTCAGCAATTATCCAAGCCACTTTCATCATATTGGAGCCTTTCTACTCACATCTCCATCCACCAAAACTAACCAGCCCACACATTTCCAGCCAGCTGACTTTGCTGGGCAAAGTTCTCCATCCAGTGGCCAAATTCATGGATGCAGCTCATGCTCCTGCACCAGAGTTTGATCCAGCACCTATTGCTGATGTGCTGGATTGTAGCCACAGCTGAACTACCAGGTGCAGATCGTGTGAGGAAAAAGAAAGAACAGATATCCTGAAATTACACTGGGTCACAGAGAAGCTGCTGCTAAAAAATGACACTGACATTGCATACGAGGAGGGTGTGAAGTTTGTTTCATGGGTGTGGCACATCTGCTGATCCAGTTATTTTTTTTTTATTCCTAGTTTTTAATAAAAGGAGACAAGAATCTAGATAGACCTTTAGCAGTGCCAGGAAGAAAGCCTTAACAGCACCTGAAGGAGTGCAAGAATAATACTCCAGGTGCCTAAGGAGTAGGCCAAAAAGCCTTATAGACACAGCTTAAGATAGAAATGTGAAAAACCATCACAGAACAATGTTCCACAGGTTAAAAAATACAGGTTACAGCACATCTTCCAGAAAAAAATGCATTCCATGTGAAAAAAAAGAAAAAAAGAATGTTGAAGAAACATGCTAGATGTGGCTTGTATGTTCCTAGCACAGCACATGCACTCAACAAGCAGGTTTGTGGTTTCTTTCCCCATTTCCAATCCTTTGGCCCCAGGACTTGGGGTGCTCATGGCTGACCACTGGGACCACTTGGTGTGTACAAGGGCATCACTGGACTGTGCAGTATTAGCCCCAAGTAAGACCAGATGGAAACAAAAGCTGCTGTAGGAGATCAGTGAACATATTCAAACTTGAAGGCTACTGCTAGAACAGTGGAAAATAGTCTTTACTATTAAAAAGAATAAAATCCTTAAAGAGGAGTCAGGTTTATACAAAAGCATTTGTGATTTCAATAATTTATTTACAAGGCAATTAGGCAACCAGTTAACAAAACTTCTCACTTGTTAAAAGTGACCAGGCTCCTTCCAAGCAAGTGCTTTGTACCCACCCAGCACATCCAGAAATACGGGACAAATCAGAGTTCCTGCAGAAGTTGTTCAGTGAGCAACCAACACTCAGGCTGTAGATTACCACAGGTCAGATTTGCCAGGAATAGCACTTTTTATCACTTCTCTTTCAGTACTGTCAAGGCAGAAAGGGGTGGAAAACCTGTCACAGAAATCCCCATTAAAAGCGAGCGGCGATGTCTCCTTGTGGGACAGCCTGCAAAACAACTCTCCAATTCCTCTATCAGTGAGCACCCCTGCTGCTGGCTTCACTGAAAAACTGGGCAAGTTGTAAGTCCATACAAGAAGTAAAAGAATAAAAAGTCTTGTGGCTTTGAGTTAGTACCTACCCAGTAGTAAAACAATACAGAAACTCAGCTGAAATACCAGCGTTTCACAACATCTACTCCATGATTCTCTTCACACACATATTGGTTATGCAGAGAAACTTCTTTACTGGTTTCAAACGACAGGTTCTGCACATCTGTGAAGCTCCTGGAACACATGAGAATAAATCAGTGACTCTGAAGGACAATAACTCTGCTTTAGCCCAACCACTAGATACCTGGACATCTTTCTCCTACTATGGCCCCGCCAGAAGAAAACAAACATAAAATGTGAATTTTCTTCTCAAACTGGGAGGACAGATGGGGCAGTTTGCAGGAGGGGGAGATGACTGGGTTAATGGTCTATTAATCTTCAAAGATTTTGACTCTAAGCTCTTCTGCAGCAATGAAGGAAGGGAAGGACATTAGTCATGCTTTATCTCTTCCTCATCCTCCCAGTGATGCTTTGTATTTGTTGCCACAATAGTTGAGGAGAAAACCCTTCTCTGTGCTCCTTGTGCCTTCTCAAGAATGACACATTTGCAGGGTTATTATTTAAGACAGTTTGCAGCTCACTTTTCTGTTTCCTGGGTTTCTCCATTCCTACATACCTAAACTTTAGTCTGTTCTTGCTCAGTGAAGCTGAAGTGGCAGAGAATGGCACACTCAATTGGCTCACCTGGAGTACAAACCCAACCTCAAACCCCAAACATCCTACTGTGACTGGAGGCAGGGCAGGGACAGAAATACAGATGACTGCTACAAAGAGAATTACACTTAGTGCTACCAAGCCCTCAGTTAACCCTCCTCCAGTCTGAGTACAGATTTTCCCCTGAATATGTTATCAACAAGTCTTTCCACCAACTAGTTGTGATTACCTTTGAAGCCCTTCACTCAGCTCCTGAGACACTACTTTAAGATCTTTCAGTGCATTCAGTGCTTTTGCACTATCCCCTGAGTGGTTTGGCGTAACATCTGTCAGAAGCTCCTGTGTGATCATTAATTGCTTTCTCAGTTCATCTGGAAGATGAGAAGTTAAATGTATTAAAAATGAGAGTGGCACCAGTTAACACAAGATATTAACAGCTGGAGTAACCCAAAGACATGTGAACTAGATGACAAAAAAACATTGTTCAGCTTTCATAAAAACACCATGAAACCGTGAAAGCCAAATTATTTTTCACTGCAGTGACTAGCACCAGAAACAGGCTATTAAAATTGCTCTCAAGCTCTCATTTAGAGTATGTCAAAGATTTTTAAGAAAAATTGCAAGAGAAAAAACAAGTTTTAGACACCCAAAATTCCCTGGCCAGTTTCATATATTACTGTTGGCAGGTATCCCCTCCATGAAATTTATTCAGTCATTTCCTTCAACATTCACAAACAAAAAAAATGGACCTATTCCTTTCTAGTCTTCTTACAAGAATTTGAAGTTCTTCAATAAACATTTTGCATTTATCTTAAAGTGCAAGATTACTGTAAATGATTTAGAAATCTTGTTTGTTGTAGACCAGCAGTTTAAAAATGTAACCTTTTATCCAGACTTCAATACAAAATGTATGTACTGATTTATTAAATATTCTCTGATCCAAGACAGCACACAATAGCATTTAAGTTCCAGTTCTGCAAGAAACTTGACCAAGTCTGCCCAGGTGATTCTGTTCCTCAAACACAGAAAGATCACAGCATTCCTACAACTTGTTTACACAGCAGGAAAAAGAAAGGGGGAGAAATGCCATGAATACAGTTTGAATATACAGAAACCTACTTAAAAAGGTGTATATGAAGACTGAACTAACTTAAAAAGTTAATTTATTCTCTGCTGCAAGATAAAAAACTGTAGTTAAGTGGTAAAACAGAAGTAAGAATTACACACAGCACAATGTGTGATTATTGCTGCATCCCAGTGTCCACACAGGCTCTAGGAGCACATGAAGTTCCTCCAGTGGCCATAGGCAGATGCAGCACTAACTATGTAAGAAGCTTTTTTTACCAAAATCCCACTATAACTGAAAGCAAATTTGGCAAATCAAATTTTCATACCAAGGTAGGTTTGCTTATCTCCTTCTATGTGAATGTTCTTTATGGGTAATTCATGTCTTGTAGCATCCAGGGAAGCTGCAAAGCTTTTGTATTGCTCTTTAAACTGTTCACAGACAGCAACCAGGGGAGACAGCACTTCTATCTGAAAGAGACACACACTCAACAACACTCCTCCAACAGCATATCTTCTGTAATTACACACCTGGCTCACTACAAAAAAATACTTTATGATAAAACCAAATACCACTCTGAAATGCTTATTGTCAGAGGAATTCAAGAAGTCTGTGGTACAATAATCCTATCAAACTGTTTATTATGTTTTCCTCTATGTCCTCAGTACCAGTCCCTTTGTTTCTGTAGCTCAGAGATACTGGCAACATAGCCAGCAAAAGGTTTTATATCAGATCCTTCGACTGTAATTAACAAGGGTGTTCTCCAACAGCCTTGCTCAATTTTTGCAATGTGTATTTGTTAAAAAAGCAAAAAGATTCAGTTTTAAAAATTCATTATTCAAACATTAATTATTCATTAGAAACCTGTCTTCTTACAATTAGGCCAGAACTACTTGTGGCTAACACATACAAACAAGACAAATAAACAACAGAAGATGTTCACTTCTCTCTAAGGGGTGGCATCTCAGCTCTAACCATAACTGGAGCTGCCTAAGGGCAGGATGTTCACAAGGTTTTGGGTACTTTCACCTCCTGGGCATCACCCAGACCCTGTCCTGGCAGCCACTGCAATCCCTGCTTCTCCCTCCCTGCCCTGAGTTGTCCATGAGGGGCAACTCAACAGTGACAAGGGCACCTGCTCAGGTGCTGCAGGCCTCAACAGGAACGAGGTATTTATTTTCTTTAGAATGCATAAAATTATATCCCTGCAGGCCACAGGAGCAGAGAAATCTCCCCTGATAAAAGACTACTTCATAAATGAGTTTGTGTAACAATCAGAGAAACATTAATCCTATTAAAACCTACCTGTTTGTCTAATGTTTCATTGAGCTTCTGCTCTCTCTCCTCAAGCAGAATTTCACGTTTCAGCTCCCACAGCTTCTCCTGTTGTCTCCGCTTTTCTTCACACAACATTAATAAATTTTTTTCAGCTTTTTCCTCCATCTTGGCAACACTTTTTTCTGCCTATTACATCCAAAATGATTCACAATTAAAGCAATGCTACATCTGAGCAACTAACATATTCTGAATAAAGAAATGCAAGCCTCAGACCAGACCAGGAGACCTCACACAGTAAGCACAGACAATCAGAGTTAAAGACTCAAGACTCTTGCCCCACCCGTGCTTATTTTTGTAAAGGAAAATACAGAAGCTAACAGCACTGAGGGAAAAAAGTCACTGCCACAACCTTCAACTCCAGATAGACTCAAAACTTTTAGTCCCCCTAAAATGTTTTTTAAAGTTTTCCCTTTAAACGTTTTTCCTTTTAAACTTCTGCATCCCCCTAATTCCTAAGAACCAGCACCAGCTTAATAAACTGGCACTGAATCCACTCTAAGAGTTTTCATAGCAAGTCTTATGGTTTTACAAATAATAAATATATACAGTCACAAAAATCTAACTTTTACACGTCAGGAAGTATTTAAGAAATTAAACAATTCCTCAGTATCAAGTTCTGTCTGAAACACCATGCTTGACTAACTCTTACCTTGATTCTTAGGAAAGTTAAAAGTAGTGTCTCAGATTCCAGCTCTGCCATCAGATCATGAGAAGCAGTTTCCTTCAGAAAATAAAAGAATATTCTACATCAAGTCTGGTATTTAAACAATTGTTTTTTCAGTGGTCAAATTAATTACCAAATTAATTACCAATAGTTCAATTTGTGCCCGGAATCATCACTGCCAAGAGGCAACTCAATGAGAGAAGCTTGTTTTTTAAACACTCATATTAAGTAAATACATCTCTTTGTTCCACCATCTTTTATAACATTTTCAGCAGATTTTCATAATTCTGGTACAGAATTAGAAGTTCTGGTGCTACACTGAATGAAATCCCCAAATAGAGCACTCTATATTAAATTGAATCAGTGTTAGTTCTCAGAACAAAAATGCCAGGAAATATTTAAAGATAATGTGATGTAATTAAAGAGAAAGGGCAGGAATGCAAGAAGAATCCACCTGAAGAGATGCAATAATTGGAACAGATTCTTTACCACAAGAAATGGAAGGAAAGCTCTGGTCAGTGTGCAGATATTTGATCAACACACCAAACACTGCCAGCAGTAGAACTGATTTCTGCAAGAAGGCTTTAGACCTTCCCAGGAGCTCAGCTGCAATTCAGATTAAAGATAAACAGAAAATCTTAATTTCAAAATAAATATCCTTACCAATGTAAACAGACTCACCTCATCAGTCACTCTGCTTTTCGTTATCTCTGAATCCCCTTCTGAAGCAGATTCTGAACAAGAACTCTTCTTGGGGTCACTTTTATCTGTATCACAACAACAAAGTTAGTATGCTCTTCTGTCAAGGTCTGTTGATCACGTGGGCATTTAGCTTTAAGGGACAAATAAGTGTGATCTACTTTTCAGAAGGGCTGACACCCGCTCTTATAGGGCAAAGACTCAAAAGTACTTTATTCTTTAATTTTTCATTTTATTCTTTACTTTTTGACTTTAAACAAAACAGAGCACCCCAAAGGTACTACAAATCGAGAGGTTAATTTAAACTCCAGAGGTATTAGTACCTCTGCTTAAAATTCTTTTGTGAATATAGAAGAATATGACAATTTCTTATCCCCAAGTTTCAGCACATACATTAAAAAAATAATAAAAAAACCAACCAGAAATTTCCAAACAAATGGAAATTTACCATTAATAGCAGAAATATCAAGGTCTGGTAGCTTCATTTTTTCTTCATCTAATAAAGTGGACTGCAAGTCACCCTTCTCAAAACCACTCTGATTTAATAAGCTGTGATCAACACCTGTAGAAAGAATCTGTTATCAGACTAGAAGAATTAGAACGAAAAGAATTAGGTTCAGCAGAAGTTCACAATTCAAAGCTGTAGAGGTCCAGGGAAGCTGATCTGGTTGCATCTCTCCACTCACACCCCTCTAGGTGTGTGACCCCTCAGGGAGGACCTGAGAAATGCTCCTTAGGCCTCGGTCTTTATGAACTGCACCTGGACAAGGCCCCTCTTGAGCTTATCAGAAACACTCTCTCTTCCCAGGAATGTCTAATGAGCATCTATTTTCTAATGAACAGCCTTAAAACCTTATTCTTCTTGAACCTCCAAAGAAAGCTACCAACTGGAATTGCTGCCAGAATGGAAAATTATTATGACTAAAGCCGACTCTCTAACAACCCCATAAAGTGAGAGCCTTTGAGGTTCCAATTCACAGAAAACAAGGGAATAATTTGTCTCAATAACTGGATATCTGTGGAGACAACTAAGGACTGTCAATAATACCAGATAGGAATCATTGGTAATAACAAAAGAAATAAAAATGGACGGTTTTGCACATAGAGATTTTGGTTTAACAGAAAGATTAAATAAAAAAAACCCAGAATAATGGTGAGGGCATAGGAAAAGAACCATACAAAACCTTGTGCAGAAGGCAGAAAAGATCAAATCACTCAATTCCAGAGGCAGGACCTGATTATTTTAGTCTCACACCAAGTTTCTTGATTTCCTTTGCATACAAATAATAACTGACAGTGATGCAAGTAATACAGAATATCAGTATCTTAGAGATATTAAGAGTTTCATAGGCTGGAAATACAAACGAATAGCTTTTAAGCATTGGTAAAACCTACCAGCATTAGTTTTGTGTTTCTGAGAGAGATCTGATCTTGCTTTAGTTCTAGAAGATGGCAGAGAAGTATTTGATGAAGAAGAACTTGACGAAGCATCCTGAAGAGAAAGAAACAGCTAAGACAGAACATAGATAGCAATCTCTTACCTTTAACTTAAACGCTGACAATAAACAACTAAATCTCAGGGCACCTTGGTACTTTGGAAGTCACCCGAGTACAGTCCCAAGCTCCTACCAAGTAACACATCCCAACTCCCTCATAACCCCAGCAGAGGCGGTTTTCTCCCAGGTCTCGCTGCTACTTGTCAAAGCTGCCCCTCACACCTTTTCTGCCTTTCGCTGAGCGACGCCTGAACTTGGCAGTCTCGGCACTTTCTGTCTGTCTTTCTTATCGAAGTGCAGGTAGCGAGACTGCACGACTCTTCCTCCTGAAAGAGGAGAAAAGGGAGCTCAGACGGGCCCAGTGCGGGGCTTCCCGCCTCAGGTCGGATCCCCCCTCGGCCGGGCCGGGCCGGGCTCCCGCCTCAGCTAGCGCGGGTCCGCCCTCACCCCACGCTACCTTTCCGCTTAGCTTTAGGCGTTTGTCCGCCCGCCGCCATATCGCCGCCCTCCGAGGACATGGTGCCGAGGCACCGGCGGGGGACGAGGGGCCGGGCGGCGATCACTCCCCTCAGCACCGAGCCGCCCCAGCCGCCATCGCGTTTGAATCACCGCGCATGCGCGCGCCGAGGAGCGAGCGGTGAGGGGGTGGCAGCGCGCCCCCTGGCGGCCCGGAGGAATGAAAGGAGCCCGGGGCTGCGTTGCCTTTTAAATAAAACAATAAAGGAAAGTCTGGCAGCTCCTCCGGTACGGCTGGCCCTAAAGGTGGCCTCAGGCCTTTGGTGGGAGGTAGCTTCAGCTAGTGAATTCTGTTCTAGGCTCCTCAGTACAAAAAAGACAAGGAGCTACTGGAGAGGATCCAGCGGAAGCCGCAAAGATGATGAGTCTGGAGCATCTCTGTGATGAGGAGAGGCTGTGGGAGCTGGACCTGGTTAGTCCAGAGAAGAGAAGGCTGAGAGAGGATCCCATCAATCCTATATAAATATACAAATGTCTCCAAGAGGTGTCCAGAGGATGGTGCCACTGTTCAGAGGTGCCCAGTGACAGGACGGGGAGTAATGGACAGAAAATGAAATACAAAACAAACACCTCAACTTGAGGAAGAACTTCTTTACATTGAGGGCGATAGAGCAGTGGAACATCTGCCCAGGGAGGATGTGGAATCTCCCTCTCTGAAGACATCCCAAACCCACCTGGACGCTTTCCTGTGCCACCTGCTCCAAGTGACCCTGCCTTGGCAAACATCTTTGATTCTGTGAACCACTGTGCCCCAGTGCTGTGACAGACCGAGCACCAGCCACCTCACCACCGCCGCAGCAGGAGCCCTCACAGCGGCGGGCGGCAACACTCTGGGCCAGGCACGGCACCGGTTTTCTTTGGTTTTCACAGGACTCCACCCCCGCTACCTCAAACAGACAGACAAACAGACAGACAGCACCTGGCTGCCGCAGCGGGGGCGAGAAGCGGGCTCGGGGCTCGAAC